GTGCGCAGGCTATGATTTTCTAAGAAAAGGTAGGTTTTGAGGGAGGGGGGGGGTAGCATATATATATATATACAATTCTCAAGGTCATATCTCTGGACTTTCGTGAGCATGATGTCCAGAGGTGTGTAGTTGTGTTGTTTGTGCTGTTTGCCTTCTATCGCATAAGAGCGCATTTCTTGGAACAGTATATTTCTGGATTGTCGGGGAGACCCGAAGGAATCTAATTTTCTGGGTTTGGGCGTAGGTGGCAAGTACACCCTTAAACCGTTATTTCAGAATACCAGCAACGCTTTGTTTCGACCAAATAGCTGCACAAATCCAACGACCTACAACTTTCTGATATATGCACCTGTGCCAGGGCTGCGGAGGCCAGGCACATCGACATCAGCGCAGTTTGCCTTAGATTTGGGAGGCTTTGTGCTGTGAAGCCAACGGACCTTAGACCTGACATAGCGATGGGGCATTTTGTAGAACAACCAGACCGTTGGATAAGGTTATGAAGGGTTTATGATGGAATAGGCTCTGGAAGTTTCGGAACAGCCTAGGCTTACAAGTTGGATGCCAAGTGAGTCCCTGACATTTGCATGCACGGGTTTGTTGCACAGCCAGGCAATGAGCTGCCAGTCAGTTGTTGGGGAGTCCTTGAATCCAGGAGAGTGCTGCAGTTAAGGCATTTGCACGACTGGCACCAGACGCCTGTCAGGTGAGGAGCATCCGCTTGGCAAGCTTTCAGTCAGATGCTTGAAGATACCTACATTTTGCGGCGCCTCTTGGAAGGGAGTTTGGTCACAGAGTGTTGCGGTCCCACAGAAGACGGATTCAGATGGCGGTGGCCTTCGGCCGCCAACCATGCTAGCGCTCTACTTGTCCACAAAGCCACTGAAGCCTCCAAGCACGCAAAGCTACTTACCTATGCTTGATGTGAAGTGATTCTAAACTCCTGAATCAGTACTTCCACCGATGGTGCTGCCATCACAAACTATATTGCCATCATGAAAAGTTGCCTGGCCTTGTATCCCACCTTGAAATCCTCGCGCTTGACAGAAAATGAGATCATGACAGAGCATCTCACAAGATAATTCAGAATGTCCTTGCCATTAGCTGCTTTTGCTGTGTATCCGACTTCCGCAGGACAACACAGAAGGCAGTCGTTGCATGAAGGGGCAGTGCTTGAACGGTCGGTGACCAAGTAGAGATTCTTGTGCCGTCTGTTGTGTCACGAAGGAAGCCCAATATCTGCCCTTCACGATAACCTTTGGGTCTCATGGACCGGTCCGCGCAGCAGTAAGAAGGGTCACCTTTGGAGACCTCTCGCAGCTGTTGGGAAGGGAAAATGCCCGAGGGTCGTTTTCTGAAGCACTGAATAGTCTGCATTTCTACGCTCAAGTCTCAATCCTACTGCGCAGTATGCACAGGAAGTACCTGGAAAGCCTCGGGGAAACATTTGCGGAACGTTGCGCAGTCTGGTTGGAACGACTGCACACGTTCATGCGGCCACGCGCCAAAGTCATGCAGCTAAGCTAAAAGGATGCAGTCCGGGATCAAAGATATGAAGCCACATTACATGCGTTTGCAAGGACCATGTACAAACACAGCAGAAATACCTCCCTCAAAGACATGCACCCAAACTCCTCCAGGGCGGGTGCCGTTGCCCGGCCCAAGGAGCATAACAACTACCAAACCGGCGCAGGGAGGGTGTAGGCTTCGGGCTTGCAAGAAGCAGTCTAAACACCATGCTGCCTGACTGTGGCCAATCACACATCCACCTGGCTAAGCGCTGGCACCTTCATCGTGCAGTAAGCAAAGCTCAGTGGCGTTGCCATAGGAAAACCATCATAGTCACCACCACCTGCTGCCACCGCGCACGCGACCGCCCCTGACCGCCGCCCCTTTACCGCTTTTCAGCTGCTTCTGCTGCAATGCGGCTGCTACTACTGCGGCGGCCGCTGCTGCTGCCAATCCTTCTCCTCTGCTTCCTACCCCCTACTCCTCCTACGCATACCACCACCACCACCACCACC